AGAAATTATAAAACTTTCATACTGTGCTTAAAGAGTGATGGTGAAAAAAATCATGCAGCATGTATTTAATTATCCTCCAAATCCAATTATGATTAATTAAATAATGCACCTACTCTTTATAAGTTCCTGTTTCAGGATCTTCTGTCATGACATCATGCAGGCCTTCCACTGAAATGTTTATAATCCCACAGAATTTATCTTGGATAACACTACAATAAAAGAAAAGCAAAACAGGTTAACTGGAGTACTAGAACAGGTTTTTTTTTTCCCCTGAAATATCCTCTTGAACATGAAGAGAAATTCCAGTTCTGAAATACAAAAGAAACTTTCAAAATCTATTTTCTTATAACAAAAAGTTTATCTTTGCCTATAACATTACAAAATTCTAGATGGAGAGATTCGATAGTAAAGGAATATTTTAATATTCTTGGATTTATAAGTCTTATTTTACTTTTATAACTACAAAGATAAAGACATTGAGTATTGACAAGTAAAAATTTCTGCTCTTCTAATGACACTGTGAAGAAGAAAGACATGCCATATCTGGAAGAAATATTTGTAAAACAAATATCTGGTAATGGACTTGAACCTAGGATGTAAAAAGAACTCTGAAAACACATTAAGATGAAAAACAACTTCAGTTTAAAATAGGCATCAGATGCTGTGGTGCAAGCCTGTAGTCCTAGCTACTTGGGAGGCTGAGGCAGGAGAATCTCTTGAGGCCAGGAGCTCAAGACTGCAGTGCACTATGATCACACTTGGGAACAGCCACTGCTTTCCAGCCTGGACAACAACAGAGAGACCTGTCTCTTAAAAGAAACAGAACAAAAACATTTTTTTAAAAAAGGCAAAAATGTGAACAGACATTTCACCAAAGAAGATATACAGATGGCATGTGAGCATCCTAAAAGGATGTTCAAAATCATTAGGCATTAGGCAAATTCAAATTAAATCGCAATGAAATCTTAAAAAAAATTGTAGTATGTGTTTTTTAATTTTTATAGATTTAGGGGGTAAATCTATAAACGTGCAGATTTTATAGACTTTTATAAAGTCCAAGCAGGCAGTAACACAGACGAAATTTTCAATTAACTTTTCAAAATAGTTATATAAGCTAAAATTGATGATGTAACACTTTTTCATAATAGCAATCACAAGACAGAAATGAATCACAACCTTAATCACCTTAGAATTTTCTCAGATCCAACCAGACCATAATTATGCTATTTATACATGGTACCTAATTAATAATTAAAGTCACTCTTGCATTACTATATTTTAAATACAGGAAGTTTAAGTCAAGTTAGGGTAATTTAAGAGACTAAACAAGTTTTTAGGCACTAAAACCCAGAACCAGATAAAATATCCCCTTAACTGTACTTATCTGCTTAGGTCATTCAACAGGGTTAAGCAAAGAACAACAATTTATCGAAATAGTCGAAGGAAGAAACAAGCCCTGATTTATTAGTCTTACTCCAGAATTTCTACAACAGTAGAGACTACAACAGTGGTAACATTAAAAGAATAGTTTTCCACTTTCCCTACCAGAGGAGGAAGAGCTGACAACTGGAACAGCCCCTGAGCAAGGAATAAACTTAGCTGAAAGCAGTTACAATTGGCAAGCAATAAAGACTGAGATGGTGGAGTGTCTCCACAGCTGCTAATAGCTAGAGCCAAGACTGAAATCCAGAACCTTATACTGACCAAACCCAGAGGGCAGTGCTCCAGGCTTGACTGGAGATGACTTCAACCTTACTGTGCTGAGAAACTGCTTCTATAGAGCCCAAAGCTCATCTTTTGGAAGAAGTCATCTCTAGCTACTCTCAGTTTCTAGGCTTTCCAGGACTCCCGTCAGCCTACCGCAATGCAGCTTTCGACCCTACTACTCCACGGGCAGATGACATTCATTTTTGCAATCTAGGGGCCACACTTCAGTATATCTCATGAGATATCTCTGCTGGGTGGACACCACTGGTCTCCCTTCCTGAAGACTCTGCTTCTTTAGCTTCTGTGAGCTTAGCCTCTTCTGGTCACTCTTGTTTTCCGGTATAGACTTCTTCTCTGGGGGGCCCTTCAGCATCATTATTGCCCAAGGCAGTAAAAAGAACCACATAAAGGAGTATGATGGTTGGTGAGGAGCCAAGATCACTCCACATCAGAAGAGATGGTAGCAGCCTGAAATGGTTTGGTGGCCACGGGAATAAAGAGAAAGGGGTAGGTTTGACAGATGTTTAATGGGTAAACATCACAGGATTTGGCAACTAATTGGCTATGGAAGATAAATGGGAGGAAAGAATCTAGGATGACTGTTGGGTTTCATCTTGGGTGAGTGACTTGACTAGGTTGGTGACTTTGCTCAATCCAACAGGGATACAAAAAGAGCAAAGACATGAGAAGGAAGATGATGAAAGTGGTATCCCTGAAGAAGAGAGGGTGACCAACAGCACCAAAAGTCAAGTAATCAGATAAATCAGGTTCTAGCTGAGGAAGGGGAGTGACCATTCTTTCAAGCAGCTTGTCCAGGGACGGAAACAATAGGGTAATAACCAGAGGGAGTGCAGGGTT